TGAGAGATATTTAAATTTCCTTCGAATCCAAAATGAAAATTTCAAATTGCCCCTGGATTTTCACTTATATCATTTGAAGATTTTGAAATTTATTTTCGTAAACTTCTCAGATTATCTAATCACTATAACGATTACTTGCGTTTATCACGCTGTATCGCTGACACTTCACCATCCGTAACGTATAGCGCCACGTCTTTCAAGTTAGCGGACAAATATTTTGCAGAAGGTATGTTATATTATCAAAATCATCACCATAACCAAAATATGATCGAGAGGTTAAGCAGAAATTGACTCGAATGCGCTACAGAAAGTTGCAATATTGATGTTCGCCATCAGATTTGACCATACTCTCATAAAAACGTTTCAATTTCGATGGCACCATCGGTTTGAATATATTATCATGAATGATTAAAGTTGAATCAAGCAAGAAATAGCATGCTATTATTGGTTTGAATATATTATCATGAATGATTAAAGTTGAATCAAGCAAGAAATAGCATGCTATTATTGGTTTGAATATATTATCATGAATGATTAAAGTTGAATCAAGCAAAAAATAGCATGCTATTTTGATTATAAGCGTATTTCGTTTCACTTAACACCTCCAGTAATTCTCGGAATTTCATCCGAAACTATTGATATCTCTCAGAATTGATATAACAATCTTTTATTCCAGTTAAATAAAACAAGCAATAAAAAAATGAAGTTCAAAAGCGCCATATTTGTAGCTACAACAGCCTGACAGGTATTTTAAGCCGACGATCGATTACTGTTATTTGTAAGTAAGGAGTAATCCTACTTTTTTTTTGGGTAACATTATGTATTCGGGTAAAGAAGGATGAGTTGGCTAATGTAGGTAAGATAAGGGGTGAAATTATTAGGATACAATAAAAGTAAGAGATGAGAGTAAAGTAAAATCTAAAAGAGTGGTTTGATGATTGATGATGGAATATAATCATGATAGCCGTTTCATTAATCAGTATTCTTGATGCGTATTAAATTTAATTGAATTTTCTCTTTTATCCACTAAAAATGACTGTCAAAATTGATGAAATTTCACTGAATCTATAAAATAGGTAAAAAAAAAAATAGAATGATATAAGTTAGGATTATGAAGAGTAGAGGAAATAGTGTATTTATGTAGAGTGTAGCAAAGATTGATAAGATTTTGCGGGAAAGTGCGTTCGTTGGTAGCGTTGGTTCATTGCAAAATAATTGCAATAACAATTAATGAATTTGAGATGAGGAAATGAAAGGAAGGAAGAAAAAGGTTAGTGAGGAGTGTGAAGGTAATGAGAGTAAATGTTACTTGAAATTTGATGAAATAGGTAGGCAATCGTGAGCAGCGAAAATATCATTATCGTAATTAAACTTAATGAATGGTGAACTATGAAAGTACACGAGAAAAAAAAAAAAACCTTTCCCATGTGTGAGCATTGTTAGGTTCGAGTGTAAAATGCGAATAATTTCGGTTAGCACTGATGAAGTGATGCATTTTAAAAGGCGGATTTTCGAGTTTTGTGGATTTTCAATCAACTTCATCTCGCTATTGTGCAACTGTTTAAAATTTTGATAAGATTATACTTGTAGAAGTGATATATCTTAAGTATTGTTCAGTTTATTAAGAAAAAAACGAATAGTTTACAACGATTTGAGTAAGTAACATTTTTTTTTTCTCTTCCTTAACTGTTACATTGAATTGATCATTTTTGCTTCCTTACGTGCCTTTAAGGAAGCAATGATCGATTCAATATAACAATTATCAGAATTGATTGTAATCAGAATTAATTATTTCTGTTTATATTGTTGTTGATGTAATTAAGGTGCTTATATATATATACGCTATCTAGGATTAATTTTATGATAAAACAATTAGAAGGTAAAAGAATGAGTTATAATTTCGAAAATAAAATTAGGATCTTGTGGTTGATATGGGAAGGAATGTAATTCTAATTTAGATTTTTGTGTAGCATGTTGATATAACAGTGTTTACTCGTAATTTAACTTTACTTAGCATTTACACGTAACTTAACATTAGCATTGATGTATTATGAATTTCTACTGGATGAATTTGGTTGAATAAATTTTTTTAGTTTGATTTAATTATTTGAGGGAAAGCTTTGTTTTGGCGCTGTTGGATAATTAGTGAAGATTTATTATTTGATGGAGAATTTTATTCTTCTTGACGATATAAGACAATTATCAGAAGTTATCAACAGTAGAGTCGATCACTTGGTTGTTCTCCTTTACTTATTCATTAAAATTAATAGTTTGAGATTGTTTGATCAGGTGGTGGTTCAAAAGGGATTTGAACAGGCGTAAGTGGTAGTACTGTCGTATAATACCGAAACATTTTGAAACATCTTCTATAGTTCTAAACGGGTGAAATTAATGCTCGAAGAACGTTTTCTAAAGAAATCAGTGATGAAGGCGAGTGAAGCAAACGAATCATTTCATAGATGAAATTCATACTAAACAGGAAATTACTCAGTATTAAACAATTGATCATTTTATAAATAAAATTAATTACGAAAAAATTCTTTAGAGTCATAAATGAAAAAATAAACTGAATTAAATGTAAAGATGGTATTAATCCTGTAAAATCAAGAAATCAGATAAAAAAAAGAATTAAATGTCAGTAAAATAATAAATCCTTTAACTAGCAATAGTCGAAATAATCTATTTTTGTAGGTTTCTACAAGATAAAATCACTTTAATTATTTTAATATTTTATGAAATTATTATGGTTTTCCGGATGACATAATATGGAATAAAAATTGGTGTTGTAATCTGGAAATAGATATTCCAATACTAGAAAGTATCCATATATTAAGAGCAGGTACAATCAAAATGTGAAACGTTTCGAATAATTAAAAGTAAATAGATAATTATTTAATTAAATAATAGAGGTAAACAATGAGTTATAACTAAATGCTTATCTTGTTAATTATAGTATTGTCTGGTTTTAAGAAAGTACAAAATTTTATAGAAATTGATGAAAAGTAAGTAGGGAGGGATGACTTATTTATTTCATTTTTCATTTAAGTGTATTTTTATTAAAAATGATCAGTCATAGAAGGGAGATGAAATTGAATAGTTTTTGCTTATCTGCGCTTATTATTCGTTGTAGGATTAATTATGTGTCATAAAATAGTCGCAAGGAACTGATAATGATTTTAAGTGTTACTGGATATAAATAATAAAATGGAATCGTAAGATAGAAAAAAGCGTAAAGACAAGTAATGAAAAAACAGTAAGATGGTTCTTTAGAAGGCAAGTGACACTGATAAGAGATTTTATCAGCGAGATTCAGTAATTATTTTCTGTTAGTTGAAAGTTTGAATAGATTTTCTCTCCAATTAATCATTTCTCAGTAATATCGCAAAATAATTCGGATTTTATCAATTTTGCAAATTATTGGGGGAATAAATATGTGAGAACAACTTAGAAATATAATGATAGAATGATTATGGTTATTAGATAGAATTACAGTAAGCATAATTTAATACTAAATTCTGCTTGCCGGTTGAATCCTTTATCTAAAAGGTCATTTGTTCATATGCATGTGCGTGATTTATTTGTTGCAAATATAAATGTGTGAAAGTAAATTGGTAAGAAAACGATATTAAATAGATGAAACATTCATTCGTCAGGTAAATAAACTATTTCTATTTATGAAATTAGTGATAAATTTTTTTCAAGATGGTTTTTGCTTTTTTTTTACATTGTCAACAAATATAATACTGTTTCAAATTTATTTCGTTTGTTAAGTAAGAAAGTTTGAGATGAAAATGCCAGAATTTATTAATTACAAGGAACGGTATTAATTATTGTTAAGGATTGACGAGATGCTATTAGTAAATCTCATTTTTGTCATTTTTGTAGATGAATGGGAGGAGTTATATTTTTGTACTCGGAATAATGGGTGAAAATAGAATAGTGAAAGAAAGGACATATTTGAGAGTTGGAAGGAGAGGGGAAGTTGAAACCGGTTTCAGGTTTACATTGTTACGAACTAATGAGTTTTCTTGAGCAGCAAAACAAATAAAATCATCAGAGAAAAAAGCCGAATAATTAATTATGCGATCTATAAACTGCTAAAATAAACGGAACAGTTTGATAATGTGATATTCTACATGAGTACAAAAACAGAAGGAAGTATTTACGGGAAGATGGAATGCGATTTGAATGGACGAAATCTTATTAGTCGTAGTATCATTATCTGTGATAAACAGTATAGATTATACCTTGCAAAATATTTTGGTTGTGATAAATAATTTATTCGGTAATTTAAATCTGAATTATTATTTTACTTTACCGATATCCTAAAGAATGGAAAGAAAGTGGGAGGAGAAAGCGTAATGGTAACATAATAAGATAATCATCGGGTAGCACATTAAGTGTGTTCCACTTTGTTCTGCTATCTAACAGAATTATTTTTACAATTTTTTTTCCTAAAATCATAGCAATAAATTTTCTTTTTTATATGTTAAAAAAAGTTTTAATGTCAAATGTTAGCTTCCACTGATTGGTTTATAAAGAATAGTACAATAACAAAAATGATTTACTATAAGATTTGTTGAAATTATCACTTTTGTAAAAGAGAATATTGCTGAGCATGTCCCTGTAGTTGTCATTTATAAAAGTTTTGCTGTATTTGATATTTGTTTCTTCATATGATTTCAATTTTGTAATATGGAATATTCATTAATTTTAAGCCTTTTTTTAATTTATTAAATTAAGAATTGTAAAGTGGACGTTTTTTTTTCATACAGATAAATTTGGAAATTTTGAATAGCATTATAAACTTTTTCGCTATGTTTGGATAATAAAAATTGCTTTTATATAAATTTTAATTATGTAATTTCTTATCTTCAGATGTATATTGTTAGATTGTATTTCTATTCCACTTGATATTTTACCAATATTTGGCGACATTGGTGGCGAAAATCAACAAGATATTTATTTATATACTTGAACATATTGATAAAATCTTATAAATGATAGGCGGATGTGGTGCAGAGTTTTTTACGGGATTGAACCGAAAACAGTAAGTGAAGGATTTTTCTTTCCTTAAAAAATTATCAATTTTTTTCTTCTTTTGTGAATTGATAGCATCTCTAAGGAGAAAGAAAGAGAGCGATGAAGTGAAGTAACTGATACAGATTTGATACGAATTTCTTTTTTCAATTATTTTTCTACTTTTTTTTTACTGTTACTTACATAAGTCTCCAATCTGCTTTATGGGTAAAAGTCAATGAGAAAACTGGGCTCTGATGCTCTGGAACGTGTAAAACAGCATATTACAATGTTAAAGTGCACTTAATACCACCTGGAGCTATACAGTACATTATCAAAAAATAATCGATCTTGTACTGTCGGCGTGTCTATGATTATTGTACCTGTCGCAGTGATTGCTGTTCCGATGTCATGTAGCCGTAACCTTTCTAACCTTATATAACCTTGAGAAATGGCGTTTCTCTGCGTGTATTTGCAAGGTGTTACTTATCAAATATTTCCAATTAATACATCATTCATGTTGACATGTTAGTTTACAGTTTTTCTATGAGTTCTTTATGTTCTTTTTCTAACTTATTTCATTCGGTATTGCTGAATTGTCGGATTTGTTGCTTGTTTTTTGCTTTGAAACCTAAATTTCAAAAAAAAAAAATCGTGACTTTCCCTCCTAACATTATTAGTGTTTTATTGGTTACTTCCGATTTTTCTCCTATCTGTATCATTTTGTTCTTTCTCTTTTTGGGTTTTCTTCACCTCTTTCTAAGCCGCTTCCAGTCTTTGCTTTCATTTTTTTGCAAACTGAAACTAAACTAATGATTTCATAAATATTCTTATCTGTTCTTATCGTGTTTATTGTAATATTTCGCTGTGAGTAAACGATTAACTCATTAAAGATGTGATTCGTTGCTTTGTTGATTTATTTTTTGATTGCTGTATAGTGATACATCGAAAAATCATAGGAACATGTTTTCACATCAGTAAATTAAAACAAAATTTTTACTTGATCCTTGACGTGCACAAATTTTGATAGGCACTGATAAGCCTGGTTCTTTTTCGTCATGGTTTAGAAATTTTTGTACATTTTGTAATTTTTCTATACTGTTTTTTTAACAACGCTGCAGGACTCTCGTAGGTGTTTTTATTTTCTTTTAACGAAGATACTAGAATAGAAAACCGGGAAATTGTTCTCTTAACAATCAAATAATACATGCTAACTGAAGAAAATGAATCAATGAAGTAATTAATATAGAGAAATAAGATGTATGGTTTTGTTCATTCTTTGTAAATTGCAAGAATTTGCATAGCTCATAATATTAATGATCCATGTTTAGTTTTACTTGGGATTATGCTGGTATTACATTTCGAAATGAAATGTTTAAAGTCGAGATTAATTTTTAAAGGATTTATCAGATTTGCCCTCATTATGTGCATTCGATAATGTTAATTTTTTAGAACAGTCGATCGACGTCGTGAATCATCTCGGTTTGCTGCACGTGATCGACGTGGCAAAGAAGCGGACATCTTTACGGATCTCAAAGTAGTGGTGCCAATAGTCGATGAAGCAACCGTCACACATGTGGATAGGATTGCTTTATTGCGAGTTGCGTTAACTTTATGCCGATTACGAAAAGTTGCTACGAAATGTACATTTTTTTCGAGAAAATAATTGTTTTCTTCGTGCATGCTGCCTTATACAAAATCCAAGCTGAACAGGCCTGCTAATAGTAATGCTAATAGTCAAATTACTTTCTGATATTTGAAAGTTTCTAGAGAATTTAATTTTTCTCGGTCTTAGCTAGAGAAGTTTGGAATGCACTATCTGAAGCGCAATCAAACGGATTGTTTAAACACCATAAAACGGCCTAAAAACACTGAAAACTAGCCTTGAAAATAGTGAAAGTGATAACAGATATCATCAACGTACTGTTTAATTTCACTTGAATATACCGGAAGAAATTCCGTAAAACCTGTTGTACACCGATTTTAATTTTTGCTCGGGTTTCGATTTATTTGTTAGATACCTTGCATGTGATTGTGGCTTAGTAAAACCTTTCCAAAGTAAAGGTATTTTCCAGATAGTCGTTCTTATTTAGAAAATCGTTAAAAATCCATAAAGTAGGAGCCACAAATTTTTTTTGTTAATGAAGCTATTTTGAATTCTTCAACTTTTTCCAATTTGAATAATTTGAATCTTTCAAATTTCTGAAATGAAAATAAAATGATTTTTCAGTTCTGAAAACTGATCTTGATGAGAGGAGTGAATGTTTATGGTCTGAAACGACATTGCTGGAGTGTTTAGATGGTTTCTTGGCCATTGTTGATCTGGATGGCATTATTCTATATGTTAGTGAAAGTGTTTCCATCTACCTCGGGCTTACACAAGTACGTTAAATTTTTCCTTTTCGAAATATTAACTGAAGATTTTTTTAGCTTTCATACCCAACTATTCTAAATATATTGTTCGATAAGAAAGATATAGGAAATTGATTACATCTATTATTCTTACAAACTCTGTGGAAAACAAATTTTATTAGGAATTTTAGAGAAGTTTATTGGAAGAGGCAAGAGATTTTAGAGAAACAAGAAAGAGGAAAAGTTATGAAAAAAATAAGAAAGCTCGGTGCTGTGATATTCGAAGGGATAATTATTTTTGAGGGAGCATTTCCATTTTGTGAGACCGCGCTCTTTCATGACCTATTTGTTAGTGTTACAGTTCTCTTTTTCAAGTTGTAAAATTTATCACTTACACTATCACTATCACTTAGTTTATTAGCTCATCATTTCTTTGCTAATTAATGACTGGTCTACTGACAGAATCACAAAAAATCTAATTATCCAATTCACTTCATTAATATCGAAAGTGTGTGTGTTTTTCCCTAATTTGTTATAAGTGGTAATATATATATATCATTCTTGAATAAAATAGGATTTGCATTAAAATTTTTCCGTCGTTCTTGTTTCTGAAGTGCCAAAATTCAAAGTTTCAATTCTTTTAAAAGTATGAGAATTTCAGCAAAACATAATGTTATGCAACAGTTTCAATCGAAAGAAGGATGGATGAGGGGAAATTGCCAAATATGGTTGTTAGGTTCGGGTGCTGGTTTGAGTGTAGAATATGAGCAATGAGACTCTGAAACTCTGAAATTCTTGATGTGAATCATATACATGGTAAAGTGGACAAGGCTATTTTGTAATGATGAAGAATGGCATAGTTTGAGATACTAACCTCCATTTTCATGTCGCTTTGTATGCCAACGCATTAGGAAGTTTTCTCTTTTTTTCTTTTTTTTTGTGGAGGAGAGTTAGCACACTGCGAAAAAATTGCACTCATAAACGTTAAATTAATTCTTGCTATGTAATACATATTATCGTTGAAATCAAATAAGTCAATGTTGCCTAAATTGTTCATCGCATATTAAATGTTTGATATGAATGTACCTTGTTTTGCTCCATAAACTTATTGATTTAAATAAGTTTATTTTGACGTGTGGTTCAAAATCTTCCAGACTGATCTTACGGGACGTTCACTGAAAGAATTTATTCATAGCAGTGATTACGAAGAATACATAAGCTGTGATACTGGAAATGTGGTCGATCATGGCTATGGTCAAGCATATACGTTGAGAATGAAATCAGTGATTAGTCCACGAGGTAGAAACCTAAATCTCAAAAGTGCTCTGTTTAAGGTAAGTTTTAAATCGTACAGTAAGTTTTGAGATTAATTTTTAAATAAGATATATCTGTCGAGTTCAGTTTGTTTTTTGCTCATTGAAAATAGTCTTTGATTTCGTTTTAATTAGGTTTACTGGTTGTTCTTTTTGATCGTCAATCTTGCAAGCTCTGAAAGTGGTTATTAACATTCTGGAAAAGACGTGAAAGCAACATTTCTGTTTTTTTTTTTTTATAAATGACCAATGTAACAAATAAAAGAAATCAAGATTAGTGAATGTTGTATAGGTAACTACAGTTAAATAGTCATTATTGTAGTGACTGAAAGACATAATTTGGTCTCATGATGGGATAAGGCTTGGTTTTTCGTGAGTTCCAAGAATTCAATCAATTTTTAATTGTAAATGAAGGTCTTTAGCCAGTAATTTGCCATATTCGTTCACTATCGGCTGAGAATGGACGTGTTCGTGTCATACAGGCAAGTGCACAACCAGCTGGACAGGGTAATAGTGTTTCTGTAGCTTCAAGAGGCACCGACGTACAAAATGGCACTTACATGACGCGACATACTTATGATATGAAATTTTCATATGTCAGTGAAAGGTTTATAATTTTACATATGTTTATGAAAAAAAGATTTGTAATTTTGTGTATTTAATAAAGTTTTGTGTATGCTAATTAAAAAGTTATAATGTGTTTCATTAGAAATTAAATATAGTTAAGCAAGAAATTAATTAAAGCCATCAGTATCTTGTATACTTGATGATGCATTCGCAATTCATATTTAATTGAAACATGTAAAATGATTCAGAGTAATGAAGTTATATATTCTAGAACAAATTTATTTGTTCTAGGATATATAACTTCATTACCCTTTTTTTGTTATTTTTTTCTGTTATTTAATCACGAATTTCCGTAGTTTGGGATGGTGTGGCTTCATATCATATTTCATTACAATTTTAGATTCTAGTACATTTTGGTGTCTTTGAAAAAGTTTAACTGAATTGAATAAATTTATGGAAGAAAAAATTTTGATTTAAATCTGTTACGAACTGAAATTTAAGATTGCATAAACACCAATCATACTTTTACAGCACTATTTTTTAAGTTTTAACTATATTCTACGTCATGAAGCGCGTTCTTTAATGGGTACATCATTTTACAATTTGGTCCATCCGGCCGATCTTGACGTGGTAGTTGTTTCGATACGTGAAATGCTCAAAAAAGGCCACACACGGACACCGTACTATCGTTTAATTGGTCTTAATAAATCAGTGTTATGGGTACAGACGGAAGCGACTACCGTTAATCATACGACGAAAGGACAAAAAGGACAATACATCATCTGTGTGCATCAATTAATTGGGTTAGTATTAAAATTTTAGGTCTCTAAATTTTTTTGTTTTCGCGGAAAATTTATGAGATTAATTTCTCGATTTATTATTAAATTTCCTTAGGTTAAAATGAAACACTTCATGTATTTGTTATATCTGTCACTCCTATTCTTAAATTTTTTAAGAGAATTTGTGGTAAAATCTTGATACATGTGTTACTTGAAATGTAATATTTTGACGTGATTCAATGTTTGGAGGCTTAAAATTTATTTAATAAATCTGATTTGAATAATACTCAATAGAATTGTGGGAGTCTAAGAGCTAAAAAATATTTTTTATGGAGTAAGATTTAGATTGGAGAAAAGTGATAAGTTTTTTGACCTATCATCAGTGTAATATCTCAGTATTGACAAAATATCGCTGGGATTCAAAACTTTTAATATTAGATGGCGATTTATCATCCTTTGAGAGAACACGCATTCCATTCATATTTGTATAAACTACATCTAATCTTGATGCAAATGTCCATTTCATATGGGGCGTTCCATTTAAGATATCAACTTACTGAAAAACTTTATTCGTTACTAGTTATGCTTACTGGTATAAATTGCATTCATGAAGGGCAAAATTGTAATGAGAAAAATTTAGTAAAATCGTGCAAAATAATTAAGAAGTTTCAAAGTAAAAATTTTCTAATTACTTTCTATATAAATCTTCAAATGTTGAGAGTTAAATAAAATTTTATAATTTGATAACTTTTAGTTCATACTGGGGTATAGAACATTATCTTTTCTTATCTCCGAGCCGTATTTCTATACAAAAGTGATTATGTAAGTTTTAGTACTCAAAGTGAACGGGATTCGTTTATAAATGGAAAGAACAACAATGCAGAGTTATATCCGATGTCAATGCAAATAAAGCAAGAAATAACAGAAAATTCAGGTCACTTTCTTTTTAGTTTTTATAATCTTTGTCATGTTTATGAAATGAAATTTTTCAGACTAAATAATAATACTAAAACAAGGAAAAATTAATTTACTGCAAATTATTGTTTGAAATACTGCTCTTACTGCTCTTTTTTCATTGTTTCGTTCTTTAACAAATTAACTAACCCATGATCTAACAGTTCTTATGCTTTTTATTTTCTCTATTTTAATGAAAAAATGTAAAGCTAA